CCAAATCAAACTGAAAAATGAGAAAGAAAAGAGACAGAAAGAGTTAGAGAAAAAGAGAAAAAATAGAGAGCAAGAGAGAAAACAATGAGTTGTCAAGTAAGAGAGAAAATAATGAGTTGGCAAGTAAGAGAGAAAATAATGAGGTGGCTAAAAGAGAGAAAAATAGAGAAGAGCCACATAAGAGAAAAGAAGAGGGGCCTTCCGAGAGGAGAGAAAAGTTGAGAACAAATTTCTTTGCAAAATGGAATGAGTTAAAAAGAGCGATAGTGGAGAGACAACAAATGATTTTGTTGGTGTACAAGGAGTCACTCCTTAATTTTGAGGAATCTAACCCACCCCTCCCTAGCTTGGCCATTTTTTTATTGCAGGAATTTGGAGGTGTATTCTCGGAGGACGTGCCTAGTGGGTTGCCACCAATTCGAGGCATTAAACACCAAATTGACTTCATACTCGCGTAATCATTCCAAACCGACCAGCTTACTGAAGTAATCTCAAGGAGACAAAAGAACTTCAAAGGTAAGTGGAGGAGTTGATGAGCAAGGGGCATGTGAGAGAGAGCATGAGTCCATGTGCCATGCCAGTCCACTTGTACCAAAGAAGGATGGAATTTGGAGAATGTGCGTAAATTACAGGGCCATCAATAACATAACGATAAAGTATCATCATCCTATTCCTAGGTTAGATGATATGTTGGACGAATCATTTGGTGCATGCATATATTTAGCAAAAATGATCTTAAGAGTGGTTACCATCAAATTCTAATATGGGAAGGTGATGAATGAAAAACAGCAATTAAAACTAAATATGGCTTATATGAATGGTTGGTCATACCGCTCACTAATGCACCAAACACTTTCATGCGTTTAATGAATCATGTTTTGTGTACATTTATAGGCAAGTTTGTTATGATTTACTTTGATGACATTTTAATCTACAGTAAGGACCTCAATGAACATATTGAACATTTGCGGTGTGTACTAGTAGTTTTAAGAAAAGAACAATTTTTTGCTAACTTTAAAACGTGCACATTTTGAATGAAAAATGTTATATTTCTTGGATATGTGGTTAGTGCTAAGGGAATTGAGGTAGATGAACAGAAAATAAAAGCTATTAAAGAATGGTCAACACTTAAAAGTATAACAGAGGTAAGAGGTTTTCATGGTTTGGCTAGTTTTTATTGGCGATTTGTGAGGGATTTTAGCACACTTGCCACACCACTCACTGAAGTTGTTAAAAATAGTGTAAGTTTAAAATGGGACGATGAACAAGAGCATGCATTCATCACTATTAAGGATAGGTTGTGTGAAGCACTTTTTTTTAGCACTACTTAATTTTGACAAAATGTTCGAGATTGAGCATGATGCATCAGGTATAGGCACTAGAGTAGTTTTGATGCAGGATAGGAGGCTGATAGCTTATTTTAGTAAAAAACTAAGTGGAGTAGCGGTTAACTATCATACATATGACAATGAGCTTTATTCACTTGTCCGAGCTTCAGAGACATGACAGCATTATCTATGGCCGAAGGAGTTCGTAATTCACACTGATCATAAGTCATTGAAGCATTTGTGCGGTCAAGGTAAGCTGAACAAAAGGCATGCTAGATGGATGAAATTTATTGAGACATTTTCCTATGTCATCCGGTACAAACAAAGTAAGGAAAATGTGGTGGCGGATGCGTTGTCCCGAAGGTACGTGCTTCTTACTTCTTTAAGTGAAAAGTTGCTTGTTTTTGAGTATATTAAGGACATGTATGTGAATGATTTAGATTTTTCCAGTATATATGAATCGTATAATAAGGGTACAGTAGACAAATTCTTTAATCATGAAGGTTATTTGTTTGAGGAAAATAAACTATGTGTTCCTAATTGTTCCATGCGTGAATTGTTGGTTAGAGAAGCACGCAGTGTGTCACTTTGGGGTTGCAAAGACTTTAGAGATGTTAATGAAACTTTTTATTGGCACAAATGACGATTGATGTAGAACGAATTGGTGATCGATGTATAACTTGTAAACAGGCAAAGTCTAATGTTCTACCCTTACAGATTGTATACTCCTTTACCCGTTCCTAGTGAACCTTGGGTTGATATCTCCATGGATTTTGTTTTAGGTTTACCTAGGATTAAAAGGGGTCAGGATTCAATATTTGTAGTGGTTGATAGGTTTTCTAAGATGACGTATTTCATTCCATATAATAAAACCGACGATATCACTAACATAGCTGATTTGCTCTTTAAGAAAATAGTATATTTACTCGGGGTCCCTAAGATTATAGTGTAGGATAGAGATGTTAAATTTCTTAGTCACTTTTGGCCGGTTTTGTGGGGTAAGTTAGGCACAAAATTGTTATTTTCTACTACATGTCACCCACAAATCAATGGTCAAATCGAAGTAGTCAACATGACTATGATTCAATGGTTGCATACTGTGGTTAATAAAAATTAGAAAAGTTGGGGAATAATGCTTACCTTTCGTTGAGTTCGCATACAATAAGGCTATACATTCTACTACTTCATGTTCACCATTTGAAATTGTTTATGATTTTAATCCACTAACACCATTGGATTTAATTCCTTTACCTATGAATGAACGTTGAAGTTTAGATGGGAAAAAGAAGGTCGAGATGGTAAAGTCACTCCACGAGAAGGTGAGATTACAAATTGAAAAAAAAAAAAAAACAAGCATTATGCGTCACAAGCTAATAAGGGCCAGAAGAGCGTTTCATTTAAACCCAGTGATTGAGTTTTGGTACATTTGAGAAAGGAACGCTTTTCAGAGCAAAGAAAATCAAAGTTGCAGCCACGAGGAGATTGACCGTTTTAAGTTCTCGAGAAAATCAATGATAATGCATACAAGCTGGATCTTCCTGGTAAGTATAATGTTTCGACTACTTTTAATGTATCTGATCTCTCTCTTTTTGATGCAGGTACAGATTTGAGGACAAATCCTTTTGAAGAGTGAGGGGATGATGAGATTGCTGGCTTAAGTTACAATAGACAAAACGCTGACCACGACAAACAAATGAAAAAGTTTCATGTTGGGCTCAGGAGGAGAAACCAGATGGATCAACATGATTTAAGCAACGGACGAGGAAGCATAGATCATTCTGGTCGCGAATTTTTTCAAATTTCACATAATCTTCTATTTAAGTTAAAACTCTATTTTGTAATATATTTTGCTATTTTTTTTTTTTTTTTTGGCTTAATTCCCTTTTTAACTAGGTTTTATGGGTTCCCTATAAATAGGAATAATTCTTTTCATAGTAAAACACAACATTGTTATTGAAATTTATTGAGAGACAAATTTGTTTTCGAATTCTCGTTCTTCATTGGATAAATCACAAACTTACCAAGATTCTTCTTGTGGCGTTCAAATCAATCGGGGTGAGATTCTCAAATATTCAATCAAAATGGTCAACATATCATTTGCGTATTGTTGATTATTTTGATTCCTTATTTTCGAATAAAATCCAAAACTTTGATTACTTTGACTTTCTTGCGTTCAATTTCAATTTAATCATGGGTTTCGTAGTTTTTCGTTACATGGGTGTGGGATTCCCATAATTCCTTTGCAAATTTTATGGAACTATACCCATTATACATTGTGTTTTCTAGTCCATTCAAAATGTAGTTTTTGCATAAGATTGGAATGTATCCAAGCATCCAACGCAATCAACAGTGTCTTATTATTTTTCCCTTCTTGTACGGGGAATAATCTTCTTTTAAAAGTTGCCAAGTTAAGGGTCATGAGATAGAACAACATTTTCTATTACCTTCTCTTGAAATCAACCCCACTAAACTTTTCCAATTTCTCTCCATGTGAACAAAATTAGTATGAACGATGGGAGGGGAAACCGCAACAGGAGGAATCACAATAGTAGGAACCAAGTTAGGTAAAACTTGTTCTGAAGTTCCCATATTCGAAGATGTATCGATATTGTTAACCGTATTCATTTCTATTTACATAAAATAGAAGATAAATCAAAATCAAAATTCGAGAACGAATAGAAAAAGTTAAAACGAAGCGAAATCAGTTTAATCAAATATAATTCAAGAATAAAGTTATCACTCAAACAAAAAAATTTGACTTAAGAATGTTGAAGAAAATGATGGATTTCTGTGATGACTTTAAAACTATAGCCCTGTTTGTTTCTGATTCTCAAATCAATTCTCATTTTCAACCACACATTCTTCAATAAAATAATATTTTCCATTACATCAATACTTTTTTCTTCTTTTTTAACCACACATTTCCCATCATATCACTATTCAAAATCAATTCTTCCCCCAAAAATCCCTACCAAACAGGCTCTATATTAGTCCTTGTTTGGTGTTTATTTTATTTTTTAAAACATTGTTTTAAATAGTGATTTTTTGTAGAATGTGTGGTTAAAAATTAGGAAAAAAGTTTTAGATTTACGAATAGAACATTTTATTGTGTGAATGTAATTGAAAATGAGTATATAAAAAAAGAGTTTTGAAAGAATAAAAGACAAACATGGCTTAAAGTTTTTAGGGACTCAATTGAGATAAATTAAAGTTTAGCTATTCAATTGAGATCTCTTTGAAAAGTAAAAAATAGGAATATTTAGAGTCACGGCTCTAAAATATAGAAACAAATAGCGTCGACTCCTATCTCTCTCTCCCCATCTCTCTTCTCTCGGCTCAGATCTGGCTTAGACTCGCTTTGCCAGAGACCAATCTCAGCTCCGAAGCCTCCACTCTCAAATCAAAATTACTGCTTCCATTCCCTCCATTTTTTTCTCTCTCTGTCTATCTCTCTCACTCCCAACAAGTCTTGCTTTATATCTCCTCTTGCAATTGAGAGATTTATGTTCAAATGATTAATTCGTGGATTGCTGCCATTTTTTATTTTTCTGTTTTAATTCCTTAATTGTATTCAATCAATATATCCCCTGATTAATGTATTTTTGATATTCCCCCCGACTCTTTTCTGGGCTATTGCCAATTCGTGTTCCTCTAGACTCTTGTACTTCTTTCATGAATTTTCCGGTACGAGTTTTCAAGTTTTTTGTGTCGATTTACTTAAATCCCTTTTCTTTGTTTAATTGATTCAGTGTTTAATACAGACAGGAACAGTTGGTGGAAAAGGTGCAGCTGGAATTGTGATGGATTGGAGTGTTAATAATGCATATAACAAGACCTTGAAAGGTAATTATCATTATATATGCTGACCAGATCTCATAAGGAGCTTTCAGTTATCATTGTTTCTTCTGTTGCTCGTGAAATTTGTCGTTTTTCTTATTTTTGGGCTGTTATCTTCTATTAACAAATCTTTAAGGGTGGTTCCCCTGCTCTCGCTAGAAAATGCGTTAACCTCATTACCTTGTTTGCGCTCTCCATTGGACATTGTTTATGTGACTGGTATTGCAGGAGGATTGAAAATTTTATAGCTACTGTTTTTATTTAACTTTTTAAAAAGATTATAAAGTTGATGATGTTAAAATGTTCATCCTTCTGCTTTGGCTCTGAAAAATGAACTTTGCAACTATTTCCATCACTTCAATCTTTGTTGTATGAAGCATATAATTATTCAATGTATGAGTAAGACTTTTAGTTTTCTACAAATGAGAAGAGAAGAAAGGGAAAATACAAACATATTTACTCAAGTTGAAGTTTCCATGTATATTGAGGAATGTTTGGGAAGTGTTTATAAACATTTTAAATTGTAAATAGATAGAAATGTGGTGGGTTCTTGAAATATACTGTTTATAAATATACTTCCCAAACATGGGCTCAGTCTTTTCTAAGTCATCACCGAGTCCGTTCGAGCTCTGAAACTAAGCGTTTTATAGTATGAGCATCCAACTTCTTGAAAGGTAGATCTAACAATTAGGCACTTAGAAATAGTTGATCATGCGTGTTCTTTCTGGCTTTCTTTGCTTTGCAGGGTGGGTCGTATATTCTTTGTGTTTCTACTAAACCCTTTATTTGCTCATGTTTTTGTTAGTACATCATATTTCCAGTATGTTGTATAGATTGTCACATGATGAGAGAGTACACTCATGCTAAGATGAAATAAAATATACATTTTCCTCCATTCAAACGAAAATTTCAAAATATCAAACATTTTTTTATTTTTATTTCTGTTGTACGATATTGTTTGTGCACCAAAAAACTCGTTCAGTGTCAATTAAAATGCTGCAACCACAAGAACTGCTGATTGATAGAAGAAAAAAATAAAAAGAAAACGAAATGGTTCTACCATTAGTCCACCGACACTGCATACAACTGTAGATGACCATGACAACCAATACCAGATTGTGTGGCTGCAAATCATAAGAAGAATTTCTGTAACACCGTGAGATTGAAGGAGATGTTTAGAAAATGGCTACTCTCGAAGTCATGCTAATCATACCATGTTCTACAAACATTCTGAGGCTTGCCATCATTGTCATGGTTGTTTATGAAGCAGGGATACAACAATGCTTGAAAGATTCTCTTGTTAGGGAGTTCGCAGTCAAAAATCTAGGAAATCTGAGATAGTTCTTACGCATTGAAATGGCGGAGGTTTATTAAATAAAATAGACTATACCTTAGATCTTTCTAAAGGAAATATGGATTCTTGCTGGATATCTAGAACCTGCTTGATTGTGAGTGTTCAGAATGTAATGTCAAACCAAGCAATTGTTCATATCCCAACTGCTAGCATATTGTCGTCAATTTACACAAGTTGTTGTTTCCTTTAGTTGTAGACTAACAATGCCACGTGTAATTATGTACATCATCATGTATAGATTTATGTACATGTAGCACATCTCTTACAGCTAGTGTATAGGAAAAAGTTTCAGGTGGGTCTCTGACCGTCGCCAAATAGAGCATTTAGGTCCCCCAAACTTAGAGCTTGATCCCCAGCCTTTCACCTTTTTAACATTTAACCCAAGTCAATAGGTTGTGTGACTTCGCATGACACAAAACACTAATTAGAAAGATAAGTAAATGAAACAGGAAAGGATATATACTGGGGTAGGGGCAATGTGAAATCCCCACCCCTTTCCAAGAATCAAATGGATTTTACTTAAATGAATTAAGGGCCTATATATATTTTTATAATAAATTTTGGGAAAAGTGATTTTTTATTTTTATTTTTGAGAATGTGTTGTTAAAATATAGGAAACAAGTGCAGAATTATTTTATTAGGAGAACGTATGATTAAAAAAGAATTTTAAAAAATCAGTACCAAACAGAAGGCTAAAAAATTGAAAAACTAACCTACTCTTCAACTCCACACGCCCTCTCTTTCCCTCTCATGTACAGGTCTCTGTTCCATTTCCCAAACCATATATATATATATATATANAAAAAGTGCAAGTGTGTCCCCATTAAAACACAATTTTTGGACCACGACATTTCACCTTCCTTTTTTCTAACTCTTACCCAATGGACTCCCCACCACCACTCTCCATGGCTCCTCTGCACACCGTTGCTACCACCACCGCCCAACCACAACATCAACCCCACCCGTCACTGTCAGAAGGAAAGTTGTAGAATTCGAAATTGAGACATCGAAGAATGATGGAAATGGGAATGGGAATTCTCTTAATGATGATGTGCATTCTTTCCCGTATTCCCCTATGCTAGAAATCACTTCGTCATTTGGGTATACCTCGAGTTCTGTCTCCACAGTGAAACTCCCACCAGTAAGAGTACGTGTCGAGGATAATCACAGTGCAGATAAATTTTGGGGTTGGTGAAAATTTTGATTTACTGTAGAAGTAGGAGGATGTTGGAGGGTTTGTAGCCATTGGTGTGGCGCTAGGATGGTGGTTTTAAGGGTTCCGGTGGTTGTTGGTGGGGAATAGGAAACCAGAACAAGCGCAGTAAGAACAGGTACAAATACAATTACAACAACAGCAATTTCTTCAATTTGAACAGCAACAACAGCTGCTGCACTTTTTTGAAAAAATCCAGTTAAGCAAAGGAGCATTGTATGCTTTGTTTAGAGGGGTTAGTTGGAATGGCCATTTGTTTATTTAAAAAGAGGCGGGGGGTAAATTTGTCATTTTACGTAAGGTTTGGTTGATCTGGGGGGATATTGGGCCGAAATGAAAGGTTGGGGAGGTTATTTTGCTAATTACCCTATGCATTTTCAAAAAGTGAAGTTAAAATTATGATTAATCGGTGTCAATTCTGGATCGCTTAGTATCTTTGACACACTCGGAAATCTGACTCCAATCTCTACTTATTTTATGATGTAATTCTGCACTTACAGTTTATCTCTGAATTCAGCCCATAGCTTTTTGACCTTTTTTTATTATGGTTTTTGGTTGAAAACTATCAAAGCTAGAATGGATGTGAAGCTCCAAAGATGCAATAAATCCTGCTCCACCCTGTGACTTGATTATCATTCCATTAGAATTATAATTGTGTGCCAATTCCCCTAAATAAGTGTGTCATGTGCATGTTTCATTTGGATGGTTTCCATCTTTTGGGGGCCTAAAATGCTAAAAAGGTGAAGGGATTGGGATTTGAATACTCTATTTCACAAGGGTTTGGGACTTCAGCTCTAAATTTTCCTTGTATATATGCACCATGAAAATATACAATTGAATTTCTATTCCGTGACCTTTTTTTCCGAGTTACATTACACATACAAACATTATACCTATGCATATGCAGAAGATGAGAAAGATTCTCTTTGTATAGTAGTTTTCTGCCATCTCCATATACAAGGGATATGTTTCTAGTGATTTAAACCTTTTTCTTCTCAATTTAGAATTATGGTTTCCTTTATATGCCTTCTATGTATGAGATTATTTTGTTTTCTGCATTGGAGCAGATTTAGATCCTAAGTCTGTGCCCACTATGGATGCAACTATCATCCCAAATATCGATCCAATAGATACTGGGTTGGGTTCATCCGAGAAGGGAAATGCTGTTCTTACAGCAAAACCAAGGAAAAAGACGATGACATCAGTATTTCTCAAGTATTTTGAAACAGCTGTAGATGGGAAGAGTCGGAGGTGTATATTTTGTGGACAGAGCTATTCTATTGCTACTGCCACCGGTAATTTTCTGCCACTGCTGTTTTTCCTTTTTCTCTTGCATGATAACTCCGCCTATGGTCAATGATCATAGTGCATCTGGAGTATTTCTGTTGAAGGAGGATGTGAATTCTGCTGTGTTTACGTTACCATCTCCATTTTCTGTTCGTATTGAGAGCATAAATCCAGAAGTAGGTTACTCAATTAAGATTATCTACATTATATCTAAATATAATTCATCAGCCTACTTACGTTGGGTTGCTGATGGTGCATTATAGCTGGAGAATAAGTTGAGCCTGGTTTACTGATAACATGCCTCTGTTTCTTAAAGGCAATTTGGGGAGGCATCTCAGCAATCGACATCCTGGATATGACAAAAATGGGGATTTTGCCATGACTCCAGTTGCGCAACCTGTCACAGTTGCTAAGAAACCACAGGCTCTAGTTAAGATGCCTCAGGTGGAACTTGATCATTTGAACTGGTTGCTTATCAAGTGGCTCACTTTAGCATCTCTTCCCACATCTACTTTGGAAGAACAGTGGCTGACAAACTCATTCAAGTTCCTTAATCAATCGGTACAAATTTGGCCTGGAGAAAAGTTCCGAGCAGTACTATGCGAAGTTTATAGAAGCATGAAGGAAGAGGTCCGTCTGACTATGGAGCAGGTTTCTTCTAAGGTTTCGATTACTCTTGATTTCTGGACTTCGTATGAGCAAATTCTCTACATGAGTATTACAAGCCAGTGGATTGATGCAAACTGGTCCTTTCAGAAAGTTCTTCTGGATATCAGTCATATACCAAGCCCTTGTGAGGGCGCTGAAATACATTATGTTCTGTCGAAAGTTATCAGGCTGTATAATATAGATACTAGAATCATCTCTTGCACCCATGATACTAGTTCAAATGCTTTACATGCATGTCATAAACTGAAAGGTGATCTGGATAGTCAGAAAATGGCTCCCTTTTGTTATATCCCATGTGCTGCTCATGCTCTGAATTCAATTATAGATGATGGATTAAAAACTACCAAGTCAGTAATCTTGAAGATCAGGGAGTTTGTGCTGGCGATGAATTCATCATTGGAAATCTCTGAAGATTTTATTCAATTTACTTCAGCATATGAAGAGGGGAATTGGAAATTCCCGCTTGATGCCTCAGCTCGGTGGAGTGGAAACTACCTGATGCTTGATGTTGTAAGTAAGGTAATTTCTCTCATCTTATGCAAAATCAATAATATTGAAGTTGAACGGGCTTTTAGTTTCATTGATAACCTGGGAACAAAAATGGAAGTAAAATCTCGTCTTCAGTTAGTACTTAAGAGAGTTCTTTCTTTCCTAATTTTTATTTCATGAATGGATGTCCTAAAAATTACAAGTGCTTCTGATATTAATTAAATATCTCGGAGCAATCCTGCAAGCTTACATTTGAGATAATAATACTACTAGCCATGCCAAGATTACATTTTTAGGGCTGTAAAATTTGCGGAAATGGCCTTTAATTGAATCCTCCAGCTGCTGCTACAGTTTTATTTACTACCAATGGATTTTTTCGATTTGAATAATGCTATTTAGCCCCCACTAGGGTTATAACCCCAGTCTATGTGATGTTAGGTGATTGGCTAAATGAATTGTGAAATTAAATGATTCATTTTATTGGACTTAGCATTTAATAACACATTTGTGCCATATAGATTGGGGTTACCCCAAGTGGGGCTAAATAGCATTACTCTTTCGATTTTGATTACTATCTCCAAACACCCTGGAAATTATAAATTGCTTTGACGATCATTGATATTAACCACACCAATAGAGAGAATTGATGGCTTGTTAGTTGGTAGTGTTCTTCCGGTATAGCTTTCAGCTATAACCTATATGTTAGCTTAGTCTCGTGTTAACGAGAATGTTTAATTTTGCACTAAAGAATCAGAGTTATTTAGCTCAACCTTACATTGGAGATTTACTTCGAGTTGTGGATTTTGTTTGGTCAGTGAAAAATACACTCGTAAAACCAAAATAACATTATAGGGAGAAAAAAGAAGAGAGAATACTAATGTTTCAAGTATTTTTTATGAGGATTGACTTTGATTAAGGGCTCTGTCTTCTCCTGCAGGCGAGTAAATCAATGGAAACTATTATTAGGAAGTACGAGGAACAACTTGGCAGTAGGTTGCTGCTCAATTCTGCGGAGAAAAATGTTGTTCATATTATGTACAAGTATTTAGAACCCTTCTATAAGACAATCAATAACATGTGCACAAATAGAGTGCTGACGGTTGGACTTGTTCTCTTCTTCATGGATCATATTTCTGAGATGATTTTAACGTGCAAAGACTCAAGGCAAAGTCCCGATTGGCTCAAGAGTGCAGCCCAAGACATGGCCACCAAAGCTCAAAATTACTGTGATCAGGTTTGCAATGTATTTACTTACATGACTGCGATTCTTGATCCACGGATAAAAGTTGAGCTCATGCCTGAAAATCTCAACTTGGAAAGCTATTTGGAGGAGGCAAGAAACCATTTCATGAGAAATTATTCTACCAGCTATTTTCCATCTATAACCAGTTCATACACTGCTCAGGAGATGGATGATGGAGGAAGTGTTTCTTTTGCTGAGGAAATTGCCCGTAAAAAACGAAGGGCAAGCATGAATTCTGCTACTGATGAGCTTACTCAATATTTATCCGAGCCACCAGCACCAATACCTACAGATGTTTTAGAGTGGTGGAAAGTGAACAGCACAAGATATCCGCGCTTGTCTCTGATGGCTCGGGATTTCTTGTCTGTACAACCAACTGCTGCGTCTCCCGAAGACATTTTTTGCAGCAAGGGTGAGGAAAGTGATAGGCAGAGGTTCTCCTCACCATTTGAAAATACGCAAACTTTGCTTTGTATAAAGTCATGGATGCAAGGCGGGATCAAGGTGAAGTATAAATCGACCGAGATTGATTACGAAAGGTTGATGGAATTAGCAGCTTCATCAGCAACAGACAGTAGCAGTAGAAGTTCTGAAAAGAAACAAAAATGACATCACAGATAGCGTTGTAATTATGATCAAATTTCAGCTTCCCAATCGTATTGTACGACTTTAATTATGATCAAGTTAAATTGTTATTTTCTGCCCACACCTTAATTTCATTAAGTTAGAAGAATTTTTATTTTTATTTGGTAAAATTGGTGTGCTCTTTGCTCATCTTGTCACCCTGCACTGACAGCCACTTGAACCGTTGATTCTCGTGTTTTCATTTTGCGATGAACTTGAAGGTAGAGTAGACATTTGTTGTATCAAGTTTGCTTTCTTTCAAGTATATATTTGACATCTCAGCACATTAGTTCTTCTTACAAATGGTCTAGGTGTAACATGATGTATCAAAAAATATGTTCGGTTTCCTATTTGCTGAGAATAGTTAATGTACATAAGGTCCTGTTTGATTGGATAGTTTTTCCATGGAAAATGGAAATATTTTCTTTCCCACAAATGTGTTGTTTGATGACAAAAAATTTCCAAGGAAAAAATTTTCCCACCCCCCACCCATGCGCCCATTTGCCTTATATTTTGGTGGGAAAATGAATACTATGTTCTGCCGTCCGTTTTTTGTTTTTGGTAATGAAAACAAATTTTATAATCAATTGTAAAAAAAAATTCACTTTAATGGACAATTTTCATGTAAAATGAAGCCAAACGAACATTAAACTTTAATGAAAAATTAGTGAAAAAATAGTTTTCGAACAAACTTTTTTTTTTTTGTTCTTTTTTTTTTTACTTTTTGGCAATAGCAACAAATTTCATAACCAATTGTAAAAAAAAAAAAAATCACTTTAATGAACAATTTTCATGTAAAAGCCAAATGTGAACAAAAAGATGCAAAATTTTAAAATTTTCAGGGTGGAAAATTATATCAATCAAACATACTTAATTAACAATTCCCAGAACAATAATTTTTAGGCAAATATTTTCCGTGAAATTCATTTTATTTCCATCCATTTTCCACCCTTACAATCAAACGGACCCTAAATGTCAAATGTGTATTGGACGGACAGTCCAGGGGGCATAAAGTTTGAGACAATAGATTTGTGCTTTTAAAATGTGTTTCCAAATTGATTGTAATAGTTAGACTTGGGCCATGTGCGACTCAATTAGAGCATGTACAGTGTATTTGTTGAGATGTAGATAAGTTTAATGTTGAATTAGGCATATAGTCGCGTTATTTTTATCTCAAGTATACGTTATTGTTGATAAGTAATAAAATGGAATTAAGAGTTTGAATTATCATTTTCACAAGGATTATTTGTTAATAACTATCCTTAACTTCTATTTGAATAAGAATAATTTAGATTGATTTTAATGATTATCCTAAATATTTTAAATCTAAGAAAACAATTAAAAAGTGCACAATAAACAATTAGAGATTTTAACTTTTGTGTAAAAAGTATTAGGACTCACGATTTCCCTGTAGTTATCGCCTCTAATCTCGCTACTAAATTTCGATTCCAAAAGTTATATTCAATCGAATTCTCTAATTTAATCAATTTAATAGTAAGTTTCACCTCCATAACTTATGATTTTTCTTCCATTGCTCTCTATACTTCTTATCACTCCATGCAATCCGATTATTTTTTAATTTCTCCAAACCAACTCCATATTAGCTAAAAATTGTCCATTTTCACATCAAATGCATTTGAGTCCAGGTTTTACCCACAATTAATATAATCACAATAAAAATTAGACATAAATTCGTTCAATTAGGAATAATTTAACAAGTATAATAACATGAATACGTATGTATTTTGTCAGTTTTTCTTGGTCTGATTCAAGTAAAAACACAATTATCATACATATAAAACATTTATATGCAATTGATGGTAAATTTGATTCACGGTAATTATACCTTCATTTTAGTTCAATCAAGTAACTGTACTTTAATTTTCGTAATTGCACTTCAATTTTATTTCAACTGAATAACTCCTTCTAATTCTATCACTTGAACTAACAGAAAATGATGACATAGCGGTCAATAAATAGCATTTGTAATTTATGTCAATGAAATTATACTTATTTTACGTTAGCAACTAAATGTTATATGTGATAATCATTATTTATTAATTCTCATGTGTGATAATCATTATTTATTAAATGTCACATCATTGGTGGAATTGGACAAAGTTATCTTAATTGATATAAATTAAAGTATAACTATTAGATTGAAATTATATTAAAGTATAGCTACCCTAATTGAACATAATTAATATTTAGTAACCTGATTGAACTAAAGTGAAAGTGTAGTTACCACGAATTGAATTTACCTTGCAAAATGCGATTCGTCATTCATAATTAAATAATTGTGAATCACGTATGTTGTAATGAGGTCCAACTGCGTAATGGGACAAACACTTATCCTGATTATAGAACTGATAATATTCAAATGAAGATAATGATCCACTAAACATCGATATTTAGCTTAAATATCGATAACATGGTACGTCAATTAATTGGTGAATACGTTCAAAGTAAATTCTAAAAATTAAATGATCCACCAATTAATTAATATAACATGTCATCGTGAGGAGCATAAGCCAAAAACCAATATTCTATTTTAAAGAGTTACTTCTTGAAATTAGGCTCAAATAGCCTCTTTAATTCTAATTTTTAAAATAAAGATTTGACTTTTTGTCTCTATGTTTGGAGAGTCAACACATTAATATATTGTAAGCTTAATGCTTCACTCCTTCAATTATTTAAATCATGTGAGTATTTTAGTTATTGGCATCTAAAATATATGTTAATTAAAAATGAGACAAAGCAATAACTATGATTGTTGAACAAACTAAAATAAAGAGTTAGATGGAGTGTGTAAAAAATTTCTCTTTAATTCAGAGATTCTCTCTATTATTATTATTATTATTATTATTATTATTATTATTATTATTATTATTATTATTATTATTATTTTATTTATTTACTTTTTTCCAGCAAAGACCACTAGTTTGACTATTTTATATCATAATAAAAAGAAATACAAATAAAGGAGGGGCATAGCCATGACCCCTAGCAAATGATAAAGTGCAACAAAAGTCTAAAAGTAAATGAAAGCAACGATAAATGATATTGATACAATGAATAAGTGTAAACGATTCAAAGGTACTCACGAGGATAGACCCTCGTGGTACATAAAAATGGTCATGCATGTCTTCTGAAACATGTCCTGATCATATTAGTTTGAGTCGGGGTCGCTCATTGGTGAATGGTCTATCTAGGGGAAGGGGCCAGCCTGGGCGATGGTCCACTATGTGTTGAGCAGAATGCAGGTGCATGAAGTCTCACTGTACTCATAGCTAGAACATCCGATGCATGCCTAATCGATAAGTCTGAATCACTGACGAAAGGTATGTCTATCTCTTTTTTCTCCATGTAATCTCCTAGACCCTTATCTTGAGTCGAAATCGTGATGATAGGTATACGTAAACATGCAAAAGTTGGAATCCCAGAAGAGTGGGACTTAGATTCCCCCACCAACAAGGTTAGAAAACAAATTTTCACTAGCAAATCTCGTAATAGCTCCAACCTTTATGCGACGTCTCTTCTTGAAGTAATCTTTCAACATAAGCTTGATGGTGAACTGATTTGTACCAATATCCCTTTTGCAAGGGCTTGGGACAGTGTCCCTGACACGACCCCGTCTCGAGTCACCCTAATGGACCCAACGTGGCGTGCGCTGATGATGAGTTCTAGCTAGATGTTGGACCTACCACCAAGGCCACATAGACTGTTCTACGACTGTTTGATTATTTTATGACTACAATATTTTTATAGAAATTTTGACATAGTTCCCCCTATAAATAGAACAAAACTAACCTGAAAATCAACAAAGGAACTCATACGAACATTAATAATAAATATTTGGGAACCACCAATACCACCACAACTAAATCAATATGAATTTAAACTCGACTCGGCAGTTCTACTACAAAACATCATGTTTGCATGCATGGATTACAACACTTGAACAACCCATCTACGAAGTGAACATTAAACAAAATATCAGACCAAGTGTTTTGTAAACATGAGTTCCCAACTAAACATTTACATGTAATGATAAGGTTAAACTCATGCAACCTAATGATGGATAGTCAGGCTCTGGAAATGCTATGATATGGTTAAGATCATGTAACCTGATGTTGGATAGTCAGGCTCTTGACTCCAGCAGGATTTCCAGGTATCTCGAATTCAGCGGCCTCCTGATAGGGAAAACATGACAAAATATATGAGCTTGTAATTCAGTGAGTGGATAGTTCGCAAAAACAAATAATTTTTCCATTTATACATATTTACTAAAAAAATATGGTTTATTATCTTATAGCTTTAAGAAAATCTAAATTCTGATAATTCCTTTTAGAATTGAAACATGCTAATATCATAAAATTCATACTCTTTATTCTGAATAACCAACTGTAAAAATATGTCGAGTATGGACAATCTGGTATCAACATAAATATGTCTAAAACTGTTATTTCTGTAAGTTAAAATTGTATTTCTGTAACTAAATGAGATGAATTCTATATTTTGAAATGAACTAAGACAATCTGGTATCAACATAAATATGTGTAAAACTGTCGTTTCTATAAGTTGAAATTGTATTTCTGTAATTGAAATAGCTGAATTCTATATTCTGAAATGAACTAGTATCTGATATTTGAAAATCTGTGAATCTACAATTGAATAAACATAAATGATATACTAAATAATCAATCCAAGAAGTACCCAATGAATAGTTTTACTCATGTACAAAGTAATCTCGATGTACAAGGCAAAATCATTCAAATATGATAATATGATAATCTGGTCATACGTACGCAGAGCTGTCCCAAAGGCTAATCACTTTAGTACACGGCCCAAAGCCTATGTGTGTACGAGAGTGGGTCCCCAAGACCTCTGATAATCTGGTCATACACTGTGGAAACACATTTACATTTGCGCAAAGCGGGTAAAATCTAGTCATACATGTGGAAACACATTCACATCAGTGCAGA